AGATGAAGAGAGGCTTTTTCATTTCATATTAGTGTAGTATTTACACTGGTCTCACAAATACCTACAGTCCAAACACATAATGTACCACCAACAAAGCAAATTAAGATAATAGAACATGTCAGGGATTTGTGAGTTCACTGCACATCCAGGATATTCTTGGTCGTTACGAAGATTAGCTAATGTCATACCTATCTCCTCTGTCAGAAAGAGAAATCAAAGGCGAATCACTAAACCATCAGTTAAAGGCTCTGAAATCAATGGCTATTTCTCAAGGATGAGAACTGGAAAATTGAATGTATGTGGCATTGTTCTAATAAAGAGAAAAAAAATTTCAAAGAGGGATTATTTTAAAATATTTGGCCCTGAATTTAATCTATACATTTCATATCCTGCAAACTGCAAGACAAGATCCAGGAAGGCAGTCAGAAATCTCTGGCCAATAAATAAACTGGGCTATTACTGACGGCGCAGGGCCCAGGGGATGCTAAGTGTGGTAGCACTGTGGTCTTCATATGGGTGAACCCAGTGTCCAATTACTGCCCATCCTCTGTACTCAGAGAGCATAGCACATTCAGAGAAAACATTCTGTTATTCTGGAGAGAGTAATCAATATATCAGTCATCTCCAAGACTAGGATAAGCCTTTTAATAGGAATAGTGCGGGCAAACAACACAACTAGTTTTAAGATCGAGTTTGATAAATTCATGAACAGGATTATATGATGGGGTTGCCTGTGATAGCAGGGGTCTGGACTTGATGACTGAAGAGGTCCCTTTGAGTCCTATGTCCTCTGTTCCTAGCACTCTAGTAGCAGTAGGCATCTTTCAATCTCAAGAGACTACGAGTATGTGCCTCTGAGAGGTAAAGAATTTACTCAGTTGGTGTTATGGCAGCTGTGGCTGAAGGGACCCGCTCGAGAGAGACAATCTCTGCCGTATCTGTGACGTTTAAAGGTGATGTTTTGACCCTTTGGGCTCTGCCTTCTGCGAGCTCCTTTCCCCCCGCTAAGCTGGACGGCTTCCTCTCTTAACTCCGGAGACCTTTGTTAAGCTCTTGTTTCCAAAGGCTGCGGTCTTGAGTGTGATCTTCCCAGTTGTCCACATCCATATCCATTTCTTTGACGTATCGCTTGCATACATTCTTGAAACGCAATTCTGGGCGTCCTTTGGGTCTTTTTTCAGATGCCAATTGGCTGTAGAGGATGTGTCCTTTGGGATGTGCCCATCATTCATTCGGCACACATGCCCAAGCCAGTGGAGGTCTCTCTGTTTGAGGAGTGTTTGCATGCTGGGTGTGCTGGCCTGCTTGAGCACCTCAGTGTTGGTGACTCTGTCCCTCCAGGGGATTCCAAAGATTTGATGAAGGCAACGCATATGAAAGCTGTTGAGCCTCTTTTCCTGATGAGAGTATAAGGGCCATGTCTCACTCCCATACAAAAGTGTGCTGATAACACATGCACGATACACACAGATCTATGTCTGTTCTGTCAGTTTGCTATTTTGCTAGACCCTCTTGTTCAGTCTAGACATTGTTGTGGTGACTTTTCCAGTGAAAGGTTGACTGCGATAGGGGATCCCAAGTATGTGAACTCATTCACCACTTCAAGTTACAAGTTAGCATAAAATGATCCTATGAAGAGAGCTTATACATTCATTCATGCTGGGTTTCATCATGGGATTTTTTTTTTGTTTACTTTAACTGTAAGATAAATAACTTGGCAGAAATTTGCTGAGGTTCCATTTTTAAGTCTCTCTTTTTTTTTTTGCAAAGATGTGATAATTATTTACTTCTTTTTCAGTGTCTTCATTTAAGTAGAATAATAACAAGTGTCTGTCTGACTTCGGTATGTATGTATGTGTTTGAAATTGGTTTATGTAGTGCGTCCTTGCATTAAATAGATTTTGTTTGAAAAGGTGAGAGCTGGTGAGACGAGTGAGTGCTGCCCAGCTGCAGCAGTGTACCTGGCAATAAAATAGCCAATGTACCCCCTTGCACTCTGCCTGCAGCCCCTTCCCCCCCTCCCAATTCTTTTACATCTCTATTGACTGTATCACCTCTAAAATGCTTCTTAAAATGACCCCACTGTGTTAGTCAACTAGTATTGGCTAATGCTGTGATGTTCTGCATAAAGGGGATCCTGTTCAGGGCTGCTGCTTTGGGAAACAGCTCTCAAGATTGCCAGTATACTGTCACCAACAGAGAGCGCTTGGCGGAAGCAGAGGAGCGTTGAACATACCCATACATTTCTCAACCAGTTCAGCTCACCTCTTTGCATGTTTTATTCAACAAAACTTTGCACGCTGCCTAGTGTAGTGGGGTCTCCAGTCCTGACTGAGGCCTCTAGGCATTACTGCAAAACAAATATCATGTAATAATGCTGATGGGTTTACTAGTTACTATAGTAAACAACAGTGGTGAAGTGGTAAATAAAACTACCCCCTCCCTGCCCAGGTGCCGCAGGGACGTGCGGGCTGCTTCCGGGAGCGTCGCAGAGCCAGGGCAGGTAGGAAGCCTGTTCCCCGGCATGCTGGGAGGCAGGGGGAGGAGTTGAGGGAGGGGGAGGAGTTTGTCAGCTGGGCCCGTGGACCCCCTGGAGTACCCTCCAGGACCCCCAGGGGTCCGCAGACCCCAGTTTGAGAAACGCTGCCCTATGGCGTAAACTGACCTTAACAGCTGTAGAAGCCTAGCCAGTAAATATTGTCATTTCATTCACATAGTGTTTAGAACGTTTTTTTTTTAAGTAGGACACAGCCCAAGTCTCATACAGGATGTAGGCAGGGCAGGTCACAAATCTCAACTCACTTGGTCTCCCCGCTGCCAGAAACCTTCACTAATCCCCAGCGTAGCATGCCCAATGCCACCTGCTTACCTGCTGCTGGTTCCCAACCCAAAAACTGAGGAACTAACTTGAAGAGGAGGAGGAAGGTTGGCTTGGAACATACACCGGTTGGTGTGTGAAAGCACTGGTTGGAAGCCGAAGTGGGTGATAACAGACAGCCTGGCAGCAGTGAATAGACAGGTGGATGTGGTCACAGTATCACACTCACCGACTAATGGTTGGAACATATTTGACAGCAGATATATAATATATTCTGATAAAATGGACCTTCTAATTCTTGTTGATTGTTTGATTGGATATTTTGTGACATCGCCTTCACATTTACTAAGAGTTTAAACCAGCTGATTTATTTAAATTAAGGCCATTTTACACTGCTGTAGTCAAGTAAAAAGGACCTTTAAGTGGGTGTAAATATAAATCACTCCCACTTTGAGGCCCCTCCACACTGCCAGAGTGGTGAAAAGTGACCTAAGTGTGAATGGGAATCAGGCCCAGGGACCATGGTGCTCTGCAGTTCTGTGGCAGTGAAAGGGGGCTGCAGAATCACCCATGACTACAGTCTGCTCCCAGCCATAAAATAGTCCATTTAACATTATTTCTAGCTCTTTTCTAAGACTATAAATGATTTGTGTGTGTATGTACATATAGTTTCTACTCTAAAATATGGCCTAGATTTTAGAACAATATATATATCCCCTTTTTTTTTTTTTCCAAAATGCTTGCTACAGTTCATCCAAGATGGCCTAAAACCAGTCAAATGGTGTTGTGTCATAGAGACAGGCACCCGGTGGGAGAGGCTGTGCTGAGACATGCCCATTACAGAGGCAATGTGAAAGCAGAACACACAGGAGCACAGGAAGGTTGCAGAGGGGATGTGCTCACTGCAGGCTAAATAAGAAACAACAGGGACAGGAAGGGGAGTCTATTAATCTTTTTTTTTTTTACTGTATTTCTGCCCTTTTTATAAAAAGCTTCTTCTTTAGTTCTTAATTTTATCTTTTTTATCATTTATTTCTGTTAATATTTTTGTTAAATTAACTGTTGGACTGCAGGGAAATAAAAATAGGTTACAGAATCACCAGCTTTCTGCCATATGTTTCATAATGCCTGCTGCTGAACTGGTCCTTAAAGTGCCTGGATTCCCTTCAGTCCTGCATGCTGCTGACCAGTTTACTTGCTGGGATTCCTTTCCATTGAATTTGTTGCTACCTTGCATGTTGCCTTGACTATGATTTTTCTGTAGTGCCTTTGAAAGACTCTGGTTCTTTCCTTACCGGGGGCATATTTATAGTAGCTTGATTTAGTTTTCCTAATTATTGGTGACGTTCCCAGTAGGATATGTTCCTTTGTCTCCTCCCTAATGTATCACAGAATATATTCCAATTTAAAAGTGGCTTTATGTGCATGCTGTTACACTGGGATCACTTGTACTAAATCACTCTCCTGTGGATTTCCCTGCAGCTAGCTTTCTCTCGTGATTCATTCAGCTCTTATGAAATATCTGCTACCCAAATCCTTACTCTTTAGTAGAGACATCTTAGTATTGCCAGTATAAATATGTTTTATATTCTTCTGGCTAAATGTCTGTCTGAATTCTTTATTATATGTTAAAAGAATTCAGGGGTTCCTTTTTTGAGGTGGTCTTTTTTCTTCTGGTCTAATTAAAATGTACCATGTCCATACATAAAGCTGGAAATATAGAATTGAAAGTCAGATTATTACTGGTATTTGCGACTGTACTGTATGCATACTATGTACAGAATGCTGTATATTAATATACACAATCAGATTTATGTGCATGTGTCTATCTAGCTCTAGCTATATTGCTATATGCAGGGACACAAACATGTTTGTGTATGTTAATATCATGAATACCCTTTTGTATGCGCTGTCCACACAAACTGGAACCCAGACATGCACCAACACTGACTTGCAAATACAGAGGTGTGTGTAAATATAATATTGTATTCCTTAGTCTACTGTGAAACATGATTGTGTCAATGCTGGCTTCCACAGTTGGTTTTAAAAGAGAATTAGTTCATAATGATTACAAAACTAGATCTGAAGAATTTACCTAATCTGGTTTAGTAAATAAACATGTGAGAGTGCTTATCTGGGATAAATCGAGGGACTATACATATCCTTTTATATTTTTTAACAGAATGAAAGTGCCCTTGTGAAAGAAAAGGAGCTATCAGTCGAGCTTGCAAACATCAGGGATGAAGTTGGTAAGTAGGGCTTCAGATACTAACAATGTGAAAAATGTCCTTTCTCACATGTAACAAAAGCAGTTATTCCTTGTCGTGTGGTACAAGGAAACCCACAGAGCTGTAATAAAGTATCTTACTAAGCCCAGTGGTGAATTTTTGTGGCTTTGCAGGGAACAATAATTTTACCTCATTGTTGTTGTGGAGACAGGTTCATAACCGTACACACTGGAGCTAATCATGCATTATCCTTACTATTCACAGACGGTGATCTATAAATCTGTATCCTCTGTTCTAACAGCATCTGAACATGCCACCCAGCTCAGAAAACCTTCAGATGTGGCAGTGCACGGTTAGCTAGGAATTCATTACTTTGGTTGTGGGAGTTTGCACGTACTGCACCCTGGTTACAAACAGAAGAGCACCAAGATCAAAACCCAAAATCAGTGTTCTACAAAAACTAACACTTAGTAAATTGGTTATAATCTCTCCGTGCCTAGAAATGCAGGGACTAACTCAACTGGTGCCACTCATCCCATTTACTCTATGTACATTTGGGTGAGCACGTTTCCCTTTTTTGTTCTGTTCTGAAAGCTGATCGGAAAGGCAGTGACCATTAGACCATTGATTGCATCTCTAGGGAGAGGAAAACGGGCTCTACTCAGGGCCCAGACATCAGGCTGAATTCTTTGTACCTGCATCTTCCCAGCATAGATGGGGTGTGTTATGCTTACCATAGAGCAAAAAGCAATTAACGGGCTGGGGAGGTGTGTGAGGGGGGGCAGGGACTGCTGAACATGTATCAATGAAAGCATGGCTGTACAGCTTCCACACTACTCCTGCCTAATGGCAAGACTAAGGCCAAAGAGGGGAGCGGGGAGCTAAGAGCCTCATTAACTTGGTTGCATTTGATATGAAGGTTCTATTTTAAAATGGTTCATAAAGGGTTAATAAATGATCAATAGGTGTTTTATATAAATTGTTATAGAGTCCGATAGGGTAACTGATTGCTTATAATCATTGATAACCCATACTCCAACATGCTTATAACATATAGTAACCCTATATAAACAGAACCTTAATATGAAGTGTTATTATTAGCTTGATCAGGCTTGTGATTAAATAAATAGAGATATCCTATCTCCTAGAACTGGAAGGGACCTTGAAAGGTCATTGAGTCCAGCCCCCTGCCTTCACTAGCAGGACCAAGTACTGATTTTTGCCCCAGATCCCTAAGTGGCCCCCTCAAGGATTGAACTCACAACCATGGGTTTAGCAGGCTAATGCTCAAACCACTGAGCTATCCATGTCTCCCCAGACCCTGCTAGCCTGTTCCCCCCCCCGATTCCTTTTTAACCCACACTCTGGCGAGTCAGAGCAGGTGTGAGACACCCACTCAGTACAGACACCTACTCTACTTCGGGCTTAACTTTATTTGTCTTCTTCCATTTTTAAAAACCCTTACACCACCCTTCCCTGACACTTGTGCTGGAGCTCAATAACCTGGGCTCCCTGCTGTGCCCCTCAAAGGGATTTGCATTACCCAGACTGTGATAGTGCTTCACTGCTCCATCCCCCCAGAATGGTCCACCAGGGGCCAAGATCACATTTGCAATATCACTTTTATCTCTGTTTTCATCTCTACTGTGTTCTCCCCTTCCCCTCCCAAAGGAATTGCCGCAGTGCTTTTGCTTTTCAGGCAGGGAGGGAACATTTGAAGGGCTCTGCTCTGGTTCGAAGACCTATTCCCTGTTTTCAAGTTCTGTGTATCACTAACAGTCTGGCTTTGATCCTGCCTGTCTCTGAGTCTGAAGAGCGCACAGTAGGGAACACAAGGTTGTTGCACTCCAATGCATTTGTGAGTGGAGGCTATGTGTAGGCGCAAAGAAGAAGAAGCACTGGCTAGGGCCAGATTCTACTCCCAGTTACTCCAGCTTTATGCCAGTGTAAATCCACTGAAACCAATAGAGCTCCTTCCACATTTACACCAGTGTTGCTAGGAGCCAAAGGTGTTAACCACTGTACACAGTCTAGAGGTCACACTGCAGTGCTCTCAATAATGCAGGATCAGGTTCCTCTTTGCTTCCTGCCCTACTCATCACTATTTACCTGGCACTTATATACACAGCACTAGACACCTTTGCTGTGCAGGATCGAGTCCCAGCCGAGGAACATAGGCAGCTGTTTTAGGTGCTTGCCTAAGGAAATAAAATGCACCTGAAATGGTCTCTGCTCCTAGGCTCAGCTATAGCCGGGAACACCAGCTGCAGGGTTTTCCCTAGACCCTACACGCTCCCTGAATTTCCCCAATTGGCAGTGTTGCCAATTTAGTTGTTGGTTGGAAATTTGAATTGAAATTCAAACATTAATACACACTTTCAAAGCATACACAGTATATGAGAAAATACTTGTACCTGAGAAAGCAGAATGGGTTTGAAAAGTATGAACAAAGACTAGCTTCCTCATACAGCTGTTATTTATGACAATGTCGGCACATTCGTTTCGGCAATGTTGGCCTACTTTATCATTTAAAATTATGATTTGTAAGCAAGGTCTGAATGAGCTCTGCCCTGACAGCCAGTGATGAGCCAGGGGAGGGGGAAAGGCTTCAGGACCAGACTGTATTTACATGAGCACACCTACTCTGCCTAGGTATCCAGCAGACAGAGCTTTGCTGCCCAACTGATCAATTTTGGCTGATGCTGGGTTACAAATCACTGAAGTATTAAATGTGGGGGTCATGACATGTTGTTATCCTTATTGTATGAGTAAAGGGCAGCAGAACTGTACTTAGCCTGACTGAATGAGGGGGGTTTCCCTCAGTGCTTAATTCATGCTAGGGCTTGCCAGCAGGGCCGGTGCAACCACTAGGCAAACTAGGCGGTCGCCTAGGGCGCCAAGTGGTTGGGGGCGCCAAAAAGCGGTGAGCCCCAGCCATGGAGGGGCCGGCGCGGCGCAGGGTGGTCAGCAGCCCTACAAAGGTGGCAGTGTCACTAGCAGGGAGCAGCCGCGCCCCCCACCCCTCCTGCCCAGGCTGCGGCCTGGAGCCCCCCCCCCCCCCCCCCCCCCCCCTGCGGGCCGCAGCAGACGCAGGGGGGCGGCCCCCCCCACCCCCCCCCCCCCCCCGGTTCCCCGCTCGCCGCACTCGGGCTCTGCAGCTCCCGGGCATGTGAGCCGCTGCTGCCACCTGGGCGCAGGGCCCTGAGCCTGCTCCCAGGAGCCACAGAGCCCGAGCGCGGTGAAGAGGGAGCTGGAAGGGTGCACAGAGGCTGCTGCCCGTATGCATCTGCTGCAGGAGTCCCCCCGGGGGGCGGGGGGGGGGTGCCGGGCTGCAGCCTGGGCAGGCGCACCCTCCGGTTCTCCCCTCACTGCGCTCGGGTTCTGCGGCTCCCTGGGGTGTGAGCTGCCACTGCTGCCACTGCCCCTGCTGGAGGGCTCCGGTGATCTGTGGGGGCAGAGGCGGTGGGCAGCATCCGAGCATGCAGCTGCCTCCTCCCCAGGCTCCAACTTCCCCGACTCCTGCCGCTCTCCAGCCTGTGTGCTCCCGGCCAGGCGCTTCCCCAGCGCAGCAGCAGCCAGAGCTGGGGGGGCGGGAAGTTGCTTTGGGCCTCGCGGTTCAGGGAGCCGGGAAAGTTGGAGCCCGGGGAGGAGGCGGCTGTGCACTCAGATGCTGCCCATCGCCTCTGTCCCCCGCAGATCGCTCGAGCCCTCCGGGAGGGGCAGTGGCAACGGACGGCATCCGAGCGCGCAGCCGCCTCCTCCGCGGGCTCCAGCTTTCCTGGCTCCCGCTGCTCTCCAGCCCGTGCACCCCCGGCCGTGCGCTTCCCCTGTGCAGCAGCAGCGGAGCTGGGGGAGGGGAGAGGGGAAGTTGCTTCGGTCCCTGTGGTTCAGGGAGCCGGGAAAGTTGGAGCCCAGGGAGAAGGCGGCTGCGCGCTCGGATGCCGCCCGCCATCTCTCTCCCCCTCAGATCGCTGGAGCCCGGCGTTGGCTCCTGCCCTGGGAGCGGCAGCGGGAGGCGGCGCAGGACTAGGAGGGATGCTGCTGTGGACCGTGGCCACCAGGCAGAGTGGGGTTCCCGGGAAATGTTCCTGACCATCACCGTCTGGCTGGCTTGGCAGGAAACGTTCACGGCGCCGATCTGAACTTGGGAGTTGTAAGTTGCAGCCACTCGGGGTCCCCTTCCCCACATGTTGCACGGGCCAAGCCTCCGCAGCTCAAAAAACCCCTTGGACTTTCTAGTTGTATTTCTCTGTATGGATTAACCTGGGATTTCTATGAGAAAACAACCTATTTAAAAAGTTACATGATTAAATACTTGATTCTTGCATTAACCTAACTTTAAAAAATATGTCCCAACTTTTTTTATTTGCAGTGTCTAAATCAAGAAAACAATTCCAGTTGCAATGATGTATCCTGCTCTTTAAACTGTTCAGAAAGCCACACCATACAAAGAAATTAATGTAGCTAACATTTAATTCAACTGATTATAAAACACAGCCACAAAACTAGGAAAATCATGCCAAGACAGTTGGTTTCACACTTCCCAGATAAGGAAGTGATCAGTAAAGTAAGAAACACATATTATGCATAAGCGGAGTCAATGTCAAATAGAAACAGAAGTTTCAGTAAATATTAGTTTAAACTTAGACAAACTTTACAATATGAAATCATATGGGAGGGGCCTATTTTACAAAGAACATTTCAAAAAAGCACTTTTCATCACTTGTTGGAAAGTTGTCAGGTCATTTTTAAGTAGCGATATCAAAGGTCTGCAAATCTGTTATTGAACTTATTAGTATGAACACTTGAAAGGGACCAGGGTGATGGGGTTTAGCTACAGGGACACATGATTTTTATACAATCCCTTGTGCTGTCACATTATTTAAAAGAGACAAAGTGGATGAGGTGATATCTTTTATTGGACCAACTTTTGTTAGTGAGAGGGGCAAGTTTTCGAGCTACACAGAGTTCTTCTTCAGGTCTGAAAAGGTACTAACAGTGTCACAGCTAAACACTAGATT